CAGGTAGTGAGGAGATTCATCGGCTGCAAAGATGAGGTGGCGCCCTCAAATCGCACTTTGTGTGATATATGAAAAGGAAGGTGTTGGGGGCCGGACATGTAGCTCTTGCCCAAGCGGGAGTAATGTACCGGAGAGAACTGTGTAGTGGCAGAGTTGTAGCTTTGACAAATCGTTGCGGCCTTGTCATATGTCCTATTATGTCATTGTAAAGTGGGTCATATGAGACAGTCGATCAAAGTGAATAGATGTGCTTGCAGACTCTTGACTTTTAAGCCTTGCTACTGGCCATTTCGATATACAGACGCTAGCAATTCCAAAGTCACGACCTCTTGATGCTTAACTATATGCGTTAGACTGTGATTAAATATCTTGAAAGTGCGTCCACTGTAAAGGTTTATCATCTGTCGTAAACCCCGACCCCCGAAGCACCATCTCGAGTCCGAGGGCTTCACTCATACCAGGTACTGCTAATGCAGCTTTACCGCAATAACCCTCCCACCAGCCTTAGCTGCTCCATCCGGTCCAAAGCCACCCATAGTAGACACATAAAGGGTACTGTTGTCTTTGTCCGTTCTTCCGAATGTCGACGCCGTAGAGCCCGCAACCAATCCACCTTCAACGATAGTCGTGATTTTGCCATTTAGTTCGATGTGATGGATTTTGTCGCCTAAGGGTGCCGCCAATGGCGCACAGACGTACATACTGCCATCCCTCGCAACTGCCAAATCGTCAGGACCGTTGAAGGTTGAGTCGCGCGCGGTTTGGAAAAAGCCGTTGGGTCTGCCAGTAGATGGGTGGACTCGAACGCGGCCAGCCAGAGACTGAGCGGTGTTGGTGTAGTATACGTAGTCATTGTGGAATTTGATCCCGTTGGCACCAAGCTGTACCGGGGCAGAGAGATTGGCTGCTAAGCTAGGATCCTCGAGAACGACTTCCGTTTTCCCAGTGCTTACGTTGTACGCAGCAATGTTTCCATACATCGAATCTGCCAACAGCAACATTTCGTGATTCAATGTCGCCATGCCATTAGGCATAGCCATGTCAAGCAGTTCAGACATCTTGCTGACCTTGACTGCCTCGTCCTTGACAGTCACATCAAGTTTCCACAACGAAAAGCTCTGTGGATTCGTCGTGTTTCCAGGAACCGAGTTCGCAACGATCACAGCGAAGACATCCTCTTGAAACTCGGTAATTCCTAGGGCGCCAGTTGCATTCGGGAAAGTGGCGATGACGGAGGAACTCGCGGGTGAGCCTTGCGGGTGGACGATATGCACTTGAGCAGCGTCGAGGGTTGTTACGAGAAGGGAGCCGTTGCCCATCGCAGCAATATTTTCGGCCCATGTGCCGTTGGGAAACTGGTAGACCGTCGAAACATTCGTGGCAAATGTCGAGGCCATAAGGGCTGAGATGACGGACATGGGCTTCATCCTGGCGCGAAAGTGCTTCATAGCTGGTAGTTGATCGAGGGCTTTTCGGAAGAGCTGAGTTGATGTTGAAAGGCACACTGTCTCTGAGTACTGTGTCGGTGGTGGAAGAACCCCTTATCTGTGTACATCCCTTGCAGCGAAAAAGAAGGTTGCTTTCCTTTTTGTACGGGTTGATCGTGCATTGTTTGTTGGGCCTTGGCTACGCCCGAGCAATTCTTATTGCTTCTGTCGTCGACTCTCGCTCTTCAGTAAGCACTCAGGCCACCCAGGCCGGTAAGCACCGAGGCCTAATTACCTCGATATTCGCCATCATAGCGAACACTATCCGCTGAGTAATCCACAGTTACGCGTTGAAAAGGAGCCCACGTACGCCTACCTAGGTAGCCTTGGACATTCGTCCGACGCCCCACCGCTGCTGAACTCGGATGGAATCGTTTGTCATCTTTTATCTAAAGGTGCAGTACTCGGGTTGGGGGCTGAAGAGGATTGCGGAGTTAGGAGTGAAGCGCTGGCACGTCCGCGGGTTCCCTGACGCGCCATGGCCGAGGAAATTCTGCAGCATGATTTCAAATCTGGAGCTAGTGCAGAGAGAACCGCATCTTCTAAAGTGAGTCGAAAACAACAAGCCTCAGACACATGATGAAGGTAGTCGTGTATTGATGTTATGGCGTGCGGGAGGGAGCAGAAGGCGGACGAGCTGGCAGCCACGCGTTGGGTTCGCGTGCCCCACTCATCCGCCAAGCATCCCCCCTTGTCTACTTCCGTCTGTGGGGTCCGCGGGACCCGTGGACACGACACGGCTACAACGTTACGGGCAGCGGGACGTTCTTTCTCCCCAGAGAAGTTCTGACAGCCATTTTGGCGTCGAAGGATTTCGCTCTGGAGAAATCGAACAAGTCTACATCACTCTACCTAGGTATGGAGAAGACTCTGCGCACGTGACGAAGCCTATACGCGCAACGCAGTCTCGTACCTTCACAACCGTACTTCACGAAATCTTCGCGCTAATGCGCAATCGCGTTCTTGAACACTTCGAAACAGTTGCTTCTTCATGTATCATCAATTCGCGTGTGATGGTTGTACGGACTGTGCACAAAATTCGCGAGATCTTCGCACAAACATGGGCCAAAACAAGTTCTTGTCACGTTTGTATATTGCTAAGGGAGTACAGTATCTAGAATCTAGCAAAAGAAGCGCTTCGAATACAGGCACGATAGACGACGCGCAAGCTACTCCATGAAAGGCTTGACCAACTCCAAAGACTTCTCCCACAACAACCTCTCCTTCTCCTCATCGTACGCATGAGGCGCATAACCGGGCTCGTCGGATGCAGGGTCTGGATTGAGTACGCTGGAGATCTGGCACTCTTCAAGATACTTGCCACCCTGGTCTTCCAAAGCCTTCGCGGTAGCTGCCCAGACCGTAGTCGCAGCACCTTGCTGCGGGCTCTTGAGCGCCTTGCCGATATTGGGGTTCTTATCCCACGACTCCATCGTCTCCTTGTCGATATGCGTCATGAGACCGGTGAAGATCAATCCGGGATGGACCGAGAACGCCAATACACCTTGGCTTCCGTATCGGCGGTTGAGTTCGGTTGCAGTGTAGATGTTGGCTGTTTTGCTCTGGCCGTAGGCTGTCCAGGGGTGGTATTCGCCCTCGAGGTTGAGATTGTCGAGATGGATGCCACCCATGCGATGGCCGGTAGATGCAAGCATTACAACGCGTGATTTGAACTCTGGAGTGCTCGATTTGACCAGCGTGGGGAGAAGAAGTTGGACCAACAGGAAGTGAGCCAGGTGGTTCGTGCCGAACTGCGTCTCAAAGCCATCTGCGGTGCGTCCTTCTGGGCACGCCATGATGCCTGCGTTTCCAATGAAGACATTGAGACGATCGTGCTGGGCCAGGAACGAGTCGGCGCATTTGCGCACACTGGCCAAAGAGTTGAGGTCGAGCTCCAAGAGGTGAACACGGTCGCTCTCTACCAGGCTTCCGAGTGCGGACTTGGCTTTGTTGAGATCTCGAGCCGTAAGGAAGAGCGTCGCACCGGTTTCGAACAACGATTTAGCGGTCTCGATACCAAGCCCAGATGAGCAGCCGGTAATGAGGACTGTCTTGTCCAACCATTTTCCTTGGAGGTTTTCATCCGCGATGATCTGAGAGGCCGTAGGGCGTTGGTCACCGGGGCCGTTTGGCGATTGATAGGCGGATACGTAACGGGTAGTCATGCTAGCGGTTGTTCTTGGGAAGATAGGTAGTAATTGGGTGTAGAAACTGTAGTGTTTGATGAGAGATACAACAGATGGGAAGTGCTGTTCTTTTATACCCTGTTGCTGTTGTCAATCAGTGCGCTCCTTGCTCACACCTTGTATGTCCTTGATCGAAAACCTGTTGTTCAACCACCTAAACTCCGCCATTCGTAAGCAGCTCGGGGACGGTGTCTACGGACACCCTTCAAACACAGCTGAAAATAAGGGTGCCTTGCTAATATCACCGCTCTTCTGCCTGCATTGACATCTTGTCTCCGAACTAGTCTTACTAAGGAAATCGCTTTTACCAAAATGTACCGGAAACACTGCATAACGCCAGCTGTAGCATGTCGACGTGCGGAGTGGGAAGCAAACGTCGGCCCTACTCCTCATCGGCGACACAATTTAGAGGCTTGGCGCAACTACACTGCTTGTCCGATTACTCATCTACCCAACTTCACATATCGACTACTCGTCGTGTAATTCCATCGGTTTCGTGTTGAGGTCGGTCCACCGCTCTTTGCGTCAGGGTTTTGATCAGTATGAACAATGTATTACATCCTTGCGCTCATCGGCGCTTGAACTCAGTTTGCCAACCTTGGAACAGTTGCAATTTCCATTGAGAGTGATAGCTGCATCAAAAGGTGCGCTCAATAGTATCGGTAGCATCTAGATGTGAAGCGCGTCGATGCATGTGGTGTCTGCGGCAAAGGAGATAACATCATGACGTCACGTCCAGCCTCCCTACGTAGGTACCTGCCTCACCACAACATCGCTCCTTCCATGCCAGACACACTCTATCCATCTCAAATCTCCCCGAAATGTCGACACAACTCAAAACCCTCGCCAACTACGGCGTGACCGGCTTCCTCCTCAGCACCGGCCTCTTCGCCCTGCTAGCCCCCGCCACCTTCGCAGCTGGCTTTGGCATGCCGGTTGAAGCCGACACATTCGCATCTGGTTTTGTCCAGTGTATTGGCGGTCGAAATTTAACTTTTGGTATCATCGCGGGCATTTTCTTGCAACGGGGGGATGTAAAGGCCGTTGCGTTGATGGCGACGATGTTGGCGGTGGATGGGTTTGTGGACGGGCTGGTGACGATGAAGTATGCTGGGCTGGGGTTTGCGGCACCGCATTTTGGTGCGGCGGCGATTATCCCGTTTGTGAGCCGGTGGATGGCGAGTTAGGTGAGTGGGTGGGAATCAGCATGCGGGATGTAAATGTGCTGATAATGGGATAGGCATCATCATCGTACAATAGCGTGGATGCGAGATACATCGTCGTTGTAGTCTGTTGTGCGAATGAGACATCCCAGAATTCAACAATTTCATCTCTTCCTTCTCAACGAGATGGTCTCATTCATGGTGCCAAACCCCAATCGTTCGCCTTCTGCCCCCGCGGCGTTTTCATTCACCAGTCCACCGTAGCGAATCTTCAAGCTCCTCAACTCATCGGTCATGTCATCTGTCGCAGCTACCCTTTCTTCCAGTACAATTCGGCTCATGTCCGTATCGCCTACGGCTGCCATCATGATTTGGAGGAAGCCTCCATCGACCGCGGGCGCGCGATTGCGCCATAGCGACCATATCCCAATAGCCATGAAGACAGTCGCTGCTGCTAGACATATACTGTATGGAAGGATGAGATTAAGCGGGTTACTGAGGAAGTATGTACTGCGATACCTGGTACTAGTGACTGGTATCATGTCCCACCAGGTGCCGAGTGAGACAGCAGAAATCGTAATGTTTGCCAACACCTCGTTGAGCATTGCTTCGGTAATGCTGAGCGATTGTCTTGGGTCGTAGTCGACAACGGTCTCATAGCGATCGAATCGAGTAGTGTGGAAGACGGTGCCCTTGAGTAAAGCTTCAGGTCGGTTACCAGTTGCACTGCTGTACAGCTATTGGTGAAGACTCACAATTTTCAGTGTCATCGTCATAGCTACGCCCCCAACCCTCGCAGTCATAAATTGGTGTAGTGATTGATGACCCCTCTCTTTGATGACAATCTGGATCGCTGTAATGCCCTGGCTCCATTGTGGACTCCATAGCTGGATAGTCAGATGTTGGCAACGGAAGCGACGGAGATGTCCCTTGGAAAGATTTGCCCTCGATAAGTGTTCCCAGCGCGTCAAGAAGGGCCCATTCATTGGAGGCAGGTATAGCTGATGATAGATCCTGGTACCAATCATGCAATGCTTGTGTATCCGGTGGAAGAACGAGACTCAATGCTGGTTTCGCTCCTCTAGCATTGACTATTCTCGAGTGTGCTTTTGAGTCGCTGGTTGTATAATCCACTGTCTGGATACCGCGCGGAAACGTAATGCTTACATTGTAGAGCACAGACTGAGCTATGCAGATCTGTTCTTCGACCATACAATTCGCCTCCCCAGCTAGGTCTCCACTAAGCTCACGTTTAACAGTGTAGCCTGTAATATAGAATTGCCTCGACGTGTAGATAAGTCGTTCTCGATCCCATGCTGTCGTGAATCTTAGTGCCTCAATATACTCCCACGGTTTGTAGTCAAGTATGAGGGTGCTGTTATAACGTGTAGTGGTACATCTGAAGTGTGGCCCTCTAAACTGTAATCGATAAGTGGAGTTCTCTCCTGGATGACTCGGGAGAGTGAACATCTGATTATTGAACACGATTGCCTGTGCGACAAACATCAGCGCGGGCAAAGGTTCACTAGAAAGTCAGCTTTGACTGACTGGTCGTAATGTTGGACTTACCCGTAGGAGAAATATCGGTATGGAGGGTTCTCGGGCTCCCCAACGCCAGCTCCCGCTGCCCCTGTCTGAAGTGCAACGCCGCTCAAAGTAGGAAAGTTGTCGTCCCCAGCCAGATCCAAATGCAGCGGAAGAGGTGGGTTCATGACCGACAAATTGCGGTGCTCAGTGAACTCTTGGGCCTGGAAGACCACAATGAGTGCTCCTGGCGGGTAGATCGTTGCGAGCCCAATACACCAGACCAGAAGTGCCATGAGGAATAGTAAAGGCGCTCTCCGAATCCCCCGTGGGTTGAGTAACGCCAGAATATCTGTGCGGATGATGAAGAGCATCTCGACTGTCGAAAGAGGCATTGCCGTACCGCGTAAGAGGTACCAAAGATGTTGTGCAAAACACATGCCCATGCTAGCAGTCAGTGCAGCTTTGAATATTGTGCTCAATAGGATAGAGATCGCCGAAACCTGTGTCTGCGTAAGGAAGCTAGTGTCGACTGATCTCCCGTTGAGATGCTTGACGAGCATGAAGTGTCCTAGCGCTGCTAAGAGAGCTCAGAAAACGTCAGTATAGTCATTTGTCGCAGACAATTGAGACTGACCTGCAAAGAAAAACCCGAAAATTGATCCCACAGTCCTCCAGAATGTCTTCTGTCGGTGTTTACTCTTTCGTCGTGAAGAAGGCTGCGCGTCGTCCTGTTTGCTGCAGATGCGTGCTGGATTGAGGAGCCTGGTAGGACCTATGGCTCCATTTCGGTGACCTGATTGGACCTCGGACGTGCTTACACGACCTGAAAGCCTCCCATCGTATCTGGTGAACATGTGCAGATGCTGGACTGAGGGTGGCTCGTCGGCAAGACTTGCTGCGTCGTCGACTTCGATATGCTGTGAACCAAGACTATCCCTCACTTTTGGTGCGCCGACATATCTTTCCATGGTATCTGGCTTGTATCTACGAAGAGTGAAGGAGAAGGAGAGCGCAGAGAAGGAAGAATTCCCCTCGATATGGTTATGGGTCTGCGCGACGGTCGGGAGCAAAATCGTGGCTTAGACATTGCGACGGTAGCGTGTATTTGCTGACTGCATTGATCCGCGAAGCAGGTACCCAATGCCAAAGGGTTTTCCAGCGTCTTGCTTGTCCGTTATCGTTGGATATATATTGCACTACGATAAAAGTAGAGTAAAATGGAGAAGGAAGTTGGCATTGGCCCCACGCGAGATGTTCCTCGAGGCTTCTGTGACGCTAATGCATGTAAGCTGACATCTGTGGATCATGATTGGGTAGCCTACCCAGGGCACGCAAGGCTGAGTTCGCGCCCCAACACCAATGGTTACCACACTGCAAAATCGAATGTTCGAAACGGCGACTTGGATTTCTCGATTCTCACAATGGTGCTGGCAGGACTACACCGCTTGCCGCGCCAATGGGAATCGAGATACCCGGATGTTACCGCTGTCCCACCTGTCTAGGTAGGTACGTGTGGAGAGTGTTCTAGGAAAGATGATGCGGTCAAGACGCTTAAGAGGAGTTCTGAAGGATGAGGATGGGTCTGAAGACAGTAAGTGCTGCTCTAGATCGACGCGCATGCACGCCGGGTTCGCACTAAGAACGATTAGCGACTGTTGACGCAGTGTCGGCAGACCTACCCGGGCAGTCACGACACTGGTAGATATGTTCTGCCCAAGCGCGTCGTCAAGTCGATGAGGCATCTGTCAAGGTGATTCAGACCACAATCATTAACGAAGCTGAGTCTCCCCTTCCCACTCTCGGCATGAGCAGCTAACACGTGTCAGGAAGTCAGACTTGACCTCCCTCATGCCCTCGCACATCACGAGCTTGACCATCGACTCCTCGATATACTCCATGAGTCCCCCGCTGAACGTTGAATCGGTGAATACACAAGTCACTTCTTTTTCGCGCGTCACCCAGAACAGACCCTCTAGCAATCTGATACCTTGGAAAGTCATGTTTCTACTCACATTCACTAAGTCATATCTCGTGACTGCGTGCGAACATGAGGAGTATAAAAAGCGCTGGATACAATGGCATTGAGGAATGGACATCAAAGCTATACGTCTTTCACAGCCAGCCTGAACATCAATCCGCGAAAGACAAGTTCCAAAGACTTGCATTGCATCCGAATCTGACCATATTGCCGAACACGCACAGTGTATCCAACATTGAAGACTCACCCTACGACTTGATACCATGGCGCCAGTAGAACATTGGGATGTGCAAATTGCCCGACAAGACGCGTGCGTATTCGCGCAATCAGCCATCTGCGTCACAGAAGACCGCGACCTAAACATCGGCAATATACTTTGCTTCGGCTGCAAAGAAACCAATCCTCTCGTTCTTATCGACAGACTTATCGACGCAAGAGGGCATACCATTACAGATGAGAAATTTGCTGAGTGGATGCCGATCGTCGTGGAGAAATGGGAACGCGAAGATGCTATGCCTAGGCAATGCGCATGGCGACAACTGCGATTCCGGAAGACCACATCTCCAGACGCTGCTGTCTTACTTAAACGTATGAAGGAAGCAAGGCTGAGAGACAATCAAGATAAGAAGCGCAGCGACCCCAAAATTAATGTCGATCATATGCCTTGTTGGCAAGTCGATACAGACAAGGAGGTTTGCGAGTACTGCGAGGCGGCCAAGGAAAAGTACGGAAGCGTGACGTTGAGGGGACTTTTCTCAGATGGTAAACATCTTGGCCCTCGGATTCTCGAAGGTTTGATAGACTACGAGTACCGCGACATTGTATAAAGCAGACAATGAGCTTGTCTTTGGTTTATCTGTCATTTGGGTAGATCCGTGCAGGGCACGGATCTCGTGTTTGGGACAATCATTTGTTGGACAGTCACGATCACGGCTAGTGGCACTGACTGATTTGTTTCCTATGCGTGTGTTAGTATCAATGTAGCCGTGCTGGGCACGGTGCAAGCCCCGACCATCATTTGTATCATAGACAGTCATACAGTGTATGACCATATAATCCCACATTCTTTTAACACTCAACGATCTGTTTATTGTACACGGCATGAGTACTTTAGTGGAACACGATACCTTGATTCGTAAACCCACTTCCCTCGCTACAGATGCGAAAACAAGCATCTCACTCAACACCAGTCAAGCCCTCCCTCCGCCTCGGCCTAGTCAGACCCTCCAGCGGTCAAATGCTTTTAGAAGTCATAGACCGACTCACCTCCACCCAGTCACACGATGTGACTGAATGCGAGTATAAAAAGCGCTGACTATCGCAAAATATAGATACAAAGTACTCAATACACACTCTCAATTTCGCTCGATTCGTCAAGTCGATATACCGAAGAAGAATTTGAATTCTTATACAACGGTCGAAGTTGGACTCCATATCAAACGAACGTCGATCAGCAATCCACCAAAGAGAACGCTGATTAATACGACACCATGGGGGGTGTCGACGAAAACTCCTGCTTTCTCCGACGCAAGAGGACTGTTCAACACGCCCATGAAGGGATATGCTGCACTATAGGATCGACGCCCGGGTCAGCGCAGCTCTGTCAGGACTGCAAAGACGCGCATCCCTACGTCCTGAAGAAATTCCTCATGCGCATGCAGCTCCAGTTCCCCGACGACTTCTATCAAGATGGGATCAAGGCGCTCAACGCGAACTGGCAACCGAAAACTGTTCTTGAAGACGGGCTCTACCACTGTGTGTCTCGGCAGACGCGGTTCAGAGATCCGACGGGCAAGGCGGAAGAGTTTGTTGAGAAATTGACGAATGCAAGACAACTGGGAGTCAAAAAGATAAACTCTGATCCTGATTTGGTGGATGAACTGGAATATCATCTTGACGAGAAAGCTTTCAGATGTCACGACGCCGAAGGGCCTGATATGATATGCAAAAAATGCATAAGAGCGGTATCCGAACATTCAGATAAGGAAGGGACGAAGGATTTGAAGGAGTGCTTTGAAGAGGACGGGAAGACCTTGACAAAAGACGTTCTTGACGCGGCGAACGAGCAGGCGACGTGAGAGAATACCAGGCTCGACCTGTCAAATTTACCGGAAGGGGTATGAGGTTCAGTGTCATCATGTATGAAGGCCGTGGTGGGGGGTTTCCTTATGTCGTTCAGAGATCCGTGCAGGGCGGCACGTCCATTTCGTCATAGCAGTCATTCCCAAAGAGTCATCAACGGAGCTGGAGGACCCAGTGGGATATTTCCTATCAAATGTGTCAGTTTAGGGACATCTGTGTGGATATGGTGTAACCAACATTCATGCAATCCATAAATAGTCACTCACATATCGCATGTCGGCAGTGCACAAGCACCACATCTTCCAACAAGCACCCCAGCCAACAAATCATCACTCACACCACAACATCGTCAAGAAATGCGATATCTCGATTCGATAAACCCGCCTCCCTCGCTAGAAATGCGGAAACATGACTCTTGCTCAATAGAAACAGTCTAAAACGATGCAACGGTGCGCGCAATCTTCCTAGAAGCCCACAGCAAGCATCAACCCATACCCAACCGTAATAATAACACAGAAAGTAATAATACTCGCCGGCACACCCCTCGTCAAAAAGTGCTTAACAGCAAGATACCTCTGTCCAGTACGTTGATCTTCCATCATAATCGCAGCTGCATCACGTTAGCACCCATCCACTTCCCAATAACACAACTAGGGAACAAGAAAGAGAGACTTACTCATATTGGGAAACCCACTAGTCGGCAACCCCATCGCCCCACTAGCCATCAACACCGCGCCCATAACCAGCAGATTAGGATGCGGTTCCGGCATCTGCTGCCCGACCTGCTGGACAAGCGGGAGCACAATAAGCGCCGCAACGGTATGACTGATAAACGTAGCGACCACACCGATCAGCGCGCAGAAGACGACGAGAACACCATACAAGCTCATGCCCTCGACGCCGGCAGTGATGGACTCAGCGATCGTATGCAGCAGCCCCGATGAATTGACTGCTTTACCGAGGGACAGGCCGCCGGCGGCGAGGATGATGATGGTCCAGAGGAAATTGTTGAAGTCCTCTTTAGTCAGGATGCCGGTGCCGAAGAAGAGGACGATGGGGATGATGGCTACGACGCCCATGTCGCCGAAGATGGATTCAAGCTGGTGGCTCACGCACCACAGGACAATAGTAACGAGCGTAACGACGCTGATGAACCACTGCACGCCGGTGAACTTGTCCTTCAAGGGGCGGATGGGCACGATGCTGGTGCCGCGGCCGGGTTGGAAGGTGATGAGGAGGAAGACCCAGATGAGCAGGATGGAGATGATGCAGACGGGGAGTGCGACGAAGAACCAGACGCCCCAGGAGGGTTCAGGGTGCATGTTTTGTAGCGCGATTAGGTTTTGGGGTGAGGCGATGGGGGATGCGGCGCCGCCGATGTTGGAGGAGAGGGCGATGCCCATGAGGAGTGCTTTGGTCATGTCGGAATCGGCGGGGAGGTTGCGGAGGATGGGCTGCGATGTTAGCTTGGTTAGGAGGGCTTGGAAGGTGGCGACGTACCTGGATGATGGAGAAGCAGAGCACGGGTGCGGCAACGTTGCTGATCCACATACTGGCGAACATGGCGACGAACATGTTGACCACGAGTACGGTCCTTGGCTTCGTTCCAGCCTTGCTAAGGACAAAGGTAGCCATCATCTTAGCGATGTTGTACTTTGATAGCGCAGCAGCGATTGTGAAACCACCGAGTAGCAGCATGATGACTGGCGTCCACATAGCGGAAAAGACGTAAGATGCGGCTGCCTTGGATTCCAGTCTTCGGTGGGGCTCCACATCGCTTCGGACTACATTCAGTGTTACTGCGAGGAAAGGTACCAAGAGTGAAGTGACGAAGAGAGGTATGGCCTGTGGTAATTAGCATAGAACTGTGGATTTCGAATACTCTGCATACCTCGGTGGCCCACAGTAAACTGACAAAGATCACCATGGCCAGACAGTTCTGCTGCTCAGGCGCCTCCATAATGGGCACCACAAGCAGCACGACGAAGACCGCTATGCAAGCAAGCAGAATCCAGAAGGTCCTGCTGACAAGCCATTGCGGGCACCGATATCTTCCAATCGGCGTATCCACCTCCTTCATGTCTGATTCGACCTCGTCTCCTTGCCGCCTAATCTTGCCGCCTGTTGTGTCGCGTCCGAGCAGTGTATGGCTGATACCGATATTGGCCGCTTGCGCTTTCCGTTCGATTCCAATCATCTCTCGCCAAACTGTGTTTCTCTCCCATACAACGTGTTCTCGCAGATGTAGTCTCAGCTCGCGCTTCGCCTCTACAATGTCGCCCTTTGTGCCGATCTGCGCGTACGCTTCTTCCATGCGCTCGAGGTTCCGCGTGAGCGTGTCCATGGTGCTTTGCTGGAAAGGGTATGCCGGGTAGACATATTTGTTCAGGTATGTCTTTTTGAGTTTGCGGTCCATGATCTTGTCGTACTTTTTCAGCACCTTTTCGAAACCCGTCTTGTTCAGCTGGATGAAGGATCGCAGCTCGCACAGCAGAACGTAGACACTGACGGCCCGCTTCTTAAGCGACACGCCTTCGTCGTACAGCGCTGAGAAAGCCATGTCGTTGTAGTCCTCGAATGCGACGCTCGTCTTCCGTCTCGAGGAAACGTGGGAGGCTGCCATGTCTTCGTCCGTCGTCCGTCTGCGTCGCCGTTGACCGTCCGGGCTCTTCTTACGCAGCTGTGCGGTCTCGTCAACGTCTTCGTCCGAATCGTCCTCGTCTCCATCTGCCTCTGCGCCGTGGTCGGTTGATCGCCCGCTCGCACCGCTCATGGCCCGCGGTCGGTTGAAGCCGATGGCCTTGAAGACGCTTCCACTGCGCATCTTCTTCCCTGGCGGCGCATTCTCGTTCTCCTCATTGTACTCGTCCTGGTGGTACTCGAACAGCTCCTCGTCCTTGAGCAGGGCCTCCATCTCCTCGAAGATCTCATTCTCCTTGAGCTTGTAGAAAGACGTGACGCGTTCCAGTTCCGTGTCGAGGGTATTCGTGAAGACCTTGTCAGGGTCGTCGGCATCCCCGTTGAGGAGTGGTGAGGATTCGGCATCGGCGTGCGCCTGCTTCTGGTTGAGCTGCGTCTCAAGGCTGTATATCCTGTAGATAGTTCGTCAGCCCTCGATCTTACTAATACTTCCTCATTCCTGCTGAGACGCGCCACGTACTGCTTCTTCAGGTTGCTGTAGGCAATATAATGGTTGCTCCAGTCCGGCACTGCATTGAACTGCAGGCTGTGGGAGAATTTCATCTCGTCGGCCTCGCGAAGCTGCTCGAGCTTCTCCCGTCGCTTTTGTTCCCTCTTGGTCTCGCGCCGTGTCTCTTTTGGGGATGTGGTGAGTTGTTGGAGCTCAAAGGCTTGGATGGGCGCAGCGTCACGGTAAGGGCTCAAGGCGTCCAGGGTGGAGGCTTGCGGGTTGTGGAGGAGCAGTGTTAGGCAGTCTTCAGCGAGAAGACGCTACGACAGGCAGGCTAGAGGGCGTAGTCGCAGGCGGTCAGGTGGCGTGCAGCACGTGGAAATGCGGCATTGAGATGTGTGGGATTGGCGCGGAACCTTTCTCGGCGCTGGCCTGAAGATGTGGATGCGCTTTCGTCATCGCACACCAGGGCCGCGCCGGAACACATGGGCCGGCCATTGGCCCTCCGCCGCGCTCCCGCACCCACACCTCCCACGCCCACACACTGTCTCGGGATACGCGACAGGTAGCGTCTTCGTCCATCGTCACGCGCCTAAACCCCACGTCCATGGGAAGCATCATCTGTCTCGTCTTCAGTGGAACCTTTGCATGTCTTCGCATGGCCCGCTCCTGGCCGCAGCTAGTCATGGCCTGCGTCCCACCCATGCCGAAACCACTCGACCTGCATCATCGTTGCGCATAGCTCGCCCGCAATCCTCTGCGCCAATCACGCTTCAAAACGTGTGATAGCTGGTAGATCGTCTGTTGAGCCTCACTTTCAAGAAGACCATGTAGAATGCGTATAGCGAACATTGCTTGAACTTTTATTCACTTTTGGGCTATATACAATCATTTGCCTGGTGTCGCGTGAATAACATCATCGTTTAAACTGTAAAATGTTAGCAATGTTCAGTCATCTTGGATACTGTCAGACTTACACCTCAGGTCCCAGCCAATCTTGGGTCCTAGCTTGGGCAGCTCCTCCGCAACACTCTGCACGTCCTTATCACCACGTCCAGAGACACAAATGACAATGTCCTGGTCCTTGTTCATCGTCTTGGCCAACTCAATGGCACCAAAGACGGCGTGCGAAGTCTCCAGCGCAGGGATAATACCCTCGAGCTGGGACATCAGACGGAAGCCAATGAACGCCTCGGCATCAGTGCAGGCGATGAACTTGGCACGGTCGCTGTCCTTCCAGCTGGAAAGCTCTGGGCCAACACCAGGGTAGTCGAGACCAGCAGAGACCGAGTGAGTCTCGCTGATCTGTCCGTGCTGGTTCTGGATAACGTAGGTACGCACGCCGTGAAGCACACCCTTGGTTCCAGCGGAGAGTGTTGCACTGTGGCGGTCTGTGTCGATGCCGTCACCACCAGCCTCGATACCGAGAAGCTTAACGGACATGTCCTTGGAGAAGGGGTAGAACATGCCCGCGGCATTGCTGCCGCCACCAACGCAAGCAACTACAGCATCGGGAAGCTTGCCACGCTTGGCCTGCATCTGCTCCTTGGTCTCGTTTCCGATGATCGACTGGAAAGTGCGGACAATCGTGGGGAAGGGGTGAGGGCCGATGGCGGATCCGATGATGTAGTGAGTTGTGTCGAGGTGAACGACCCAAGCGCGCATGGCCTCGTTGACTGCATCGCGGAGGGTCTGCGCACCAGCCTCGACAGCAACGACCTGCGCACCGAGCAACTTGATGCGGAAGACGTTCAGGGCTTGACGCCTGACATCCTCGGCACCCATGTAGATGGTGCACTTCATGTTGAACTTGGCGCAGACGGTGGCTGTCGCAACACCGTGCTGGCCAGCTCCAGTCTCGGCAATGATCTCAGTCTTTCCCAGTCTCCTGGCGATGAGTACCTGTCCGAGAGCGTTGTTGATCTTGTGACTTCCGGTATGGTTCAGATCCTCTCTCTTCAACCAGATGTTGGCACCTCCAGCGTGCTCGGTAAGACGCTCGGCAAGATGCAAATGTCCTGGTCTGCCCATCCAGTCGTAGTAAGAACGGTACTCTTCCCAGAACTTGGGGTCTTCGATCGCTGTGTTGAAGCCCTCCTCGAGCTCAGAAAGACAATCCATGAGAGATTCAGGCACGTATTGCCCGCCAAACTCGCCGAATCGCGCGGGGAACTTGTGCTTCTCATCAAATCCATTCTGCTGGTTGGTTCCATTCGCGCCGTCCGTCTCGTCAGTGTTGAGCATCTCCAGCTGGTCGGCGAGACCGGGGCCATCTGGTGTGTCGGCATCTGTGATGACCTTGTCGACGTGCACGCCGGTGGGCTCCTTGGCCTCGTTCAATGTCTCAACGATGCCAACCTCGCGAGTTGTCTCGCGGGTGCTCTTGCCGCAGATCTCGTCGCAGTACTTCTCAACTGCCTTTGCGCCCTCTCCTGCTGGAGCCTTGATCAACGTGTTGATGATCTGGGAGCCGATAACGACACCCTCAGCAATCTTGCCTACGCTCAGGTAGTGGTCGCGTGTGCTGACACCGAAACCGACAGCCGCCGGAACATTGCCAGAGTATTTGTGGACGCGCTCGAGAAGTTGGGGGAGGGCAGCGTTCATTGTGCCGCTGGCGCCGGTGACGCCCATACGCGATACGACGTAGATGAAGGAATCGGCGATTTTGCAGAGGACGCGCATGCGGTGCTCGGAGGTAGCGGGAGCGATGAGGGGAACGTAAGAGAGACTGTCTTGTTAGTATTCGTCCCAAGCTCGTCTGAATGGTGTGCTTACCCGTAGCTGCGGCAGAAGTTCCTGAAGCGCAGAGCCTCCTCCGGTGGCAGGTCGACCATGATGAAGCCGTTGGCTCCGGCCTCCTTCGCATCCTGTAGCATCTTCTCCTCGCCGTAGCTGAGCAGCGGGTTGTAGTATCCCATGAGAAGGACCGGTGCCTTCAGACCCCGCTTCCTCGCGTCGCGGATCATCTGGAGGACATGGCCAATTGTGACGCCGTTCTTGAGGGCTTGCTATAGACACATGGTGTCAGGGAGGTTTTCCAAGGGATCGTGGCGAATGAGTCAACGTACAGTGTTGGCGGTCTGAATTGCTGGGCCGTCGGCAATGGGGTCGGTGAAGGGCATGCCGAGTTCAATAATGTCTGAGCGTGTCAATTGACTGTCGTCGCTTCGTTCGGGGAAGCAATTGCTCGTCCTACGTACCAGCACCTCCGGCCTCCATGGCCATCATGATGTCTGGTGTCTCCTCTGCGGTAGGGAAACCTGCAGTCACATAGGTGACGAGAGCAGACTACACGAATGTCAGCCTAGTCGTCTCTTCCTGGTCATGCCAGATCATACCCTGCCCTCCTTCTTGCATTGCGCAAACGTCTTCTTAATGCCGTCCATGTTGCTGAATACCGAGTCGAGAAGTTGGAGTGTGTGACAAAAGCACAAAGCCAGAAGCTGACTTCCTTATAGATGAAACAACTGTGAGTCACAGTATGGGCAGTCGTAAGGGTGCGCGGAGATATCGGGGTCTGGTATGAGTCTTGTGTTCGCAATTTATTGAGGGCCGAAGGCGGCGTAATGCCCCTCCTCTCCGGCATTAGCGGCTCAATGGGGGAAGGCGCGCGAACATCATTCCTTCTAGAAGCAAGTCTTACCAAACTCCACACTTTTTTCAACTCATACACGTCATTGCGAGACTCTTTTGTACATTAGACTACCCAACCTCGTTTTACATACATGGAAACCCGGTACATTCGCTATATGTGTAGATACAGAATACACCCCGGTCCTAACACCTCCCGCTTCGATCACTTGTGTCTTTTAGAGCTCTCCAGGATTTTGTCTTCATTCACCGTGTGGTCTCTATTAAACCAACTCTCATGACCGCATTCGATCATGTCCTTCAGGCACGATTTACAGACGGTGTCTTCCTTCGCGTCCTTCGGCATCAGGTTACAAAAGAACACGCCAGGGCTTTTTGAGTAACTTAGACCATTACTGCGTTGCCGGCTGTCGAGCACATCTGCCGTCATCTGACTATCGGCGTATCGTCCCCGGCGCGTCACGCACGTCTTGGAGTCCTCGTTCTTTTCGTCGATTTGTTTGAAGAGATCATTGAACCCTGGGTTATCGCGTCTCCAGAGGTATGCAGCAGCAGGATGGACGTCCTGACAAGTGTCGCACAGCTTAGTGCCGCGGGCGTTGCCGAGACATTTGTCCCATATCTCATATAGCGCGCAGGGTTTCGGTTTGGTATTCGACATGTTTCGTGGGTGTGGGTGGTTTGGCTAGACTTTGTGATAATCGCGAGGTCGCTAACGCGTTCGGTGTCAACTTGCAGAAAGCGAATGGGAGAAAGTATGAGGCACTTTGTTATAGAGGTTCTAGTAAAGAGGTTTGTATTTGCTACTGGTATAAGTTCTGGTACTTATAGGAAGCAGAATCCATGCGGATCCTGTCACTACAACCATGATGTGTACTATGACTGGGAGTTGTGACTACTCAAAGGTTCAGTCATACATCGCGGTGGCATTGCGTATCGCACAGACATCTACGTCCTTCGCCAACATGACTCCCTCTGGCAGCGACCCTCACCAGTACCTGCTTTGTTCACTTCTTACACGCTCAATGCAAACTTGAGTAATACGCAGCATAGCTGCCTTTGCCATTGTAGGACTATCCATTCTGTTGCATATAGCAGCTTGCCGACCTCATGCTCCCCTACATAAAAGGTCCACCACTATGGCCCAGTGGGTACGCTTCTTCTTACGCGATCTTCGTCAAAGTATTTATCAATGACCTCTTTACCGCTTGGCTTCTTTTGATAAAATTCGTAGTCGCTAGCGCATATTTGGTGTTTCCCAAGCACCCGCTGACAGCTTTGAGGACCATCGTCCTCGAATCGATCTTCCCACAAACCAGCCAGATCTTTCTCCTGTGGCATGTCCTGCATCATACACTCAAAGGTGACTCTTCCATCCTTAGTGAACAACTTCTTCTGCTCCTCAGACTCCTTCGTCTCAATATAATCCTCAACCTCTTCGCGCATGACTTCGACACATTCCTTGCAGAGCTCCAACGAGTCCTCTACTGTCTCGCAATGGACGATATGTTCGAAGCGTAGTGTATTATTGTTCTTATTATGCAGTAATATTCCTTTGAGTAATTCTTTAAACCAGTTGTCGACCCACTCGTTATTGACGTCGAATTTACGCTGGTCGAGCCGACGGAAGAAGCAGATGAACTCCCCAGCCGGGGCCTCCGACATATCTTTTAGGAGGCGGTAGAGCTGGCGGCGAAGCTCTTTATCCTCCTCTTTATCTGCTGGTTCAAAGTTGTTCTCTATTGCTTCTTTCAAAACATGCGGGTTCTGTTGAACGCAATAGTAGCAAGGTTCGGCTGCCACTTTCTCCGCGTCGGCAGCGCATAAACCCAGACCGAAGTCGAAAAAGGAGCAGCACATGTCTTCGTCTGGTCCGTCGGCCGGCGTTCCTTTTTGTTTGTATAAGGACATGCTGAAGAAATCGTTCCCTTGTCGTGGTTTCGAGGTTGAAGTTTGTGCTAAAGGATAGGTCAAGCTTTGGATTAACGGCTGGCTATAATCTGTCGCGAGGTGCTCAAGAATGGCTTGAAGCACTCGTTGTGTTGCTAAATAGCTAGACTGAGTCACACTGGTTACAGTAACACGGACAGTCATTGCGGGAGTCACTGTTGGTACGCACCGACTTCAACACTATGACCCCTCCGCAAGACCATCGTGCTCCATCACCACACCTCCTCCTAGTCTATCGCACACGAATAAGTCGCCATGCGCCAAGCGGCAAATGAAATAATTAGTACCTCCAGACCAGAAGTATGAACACCGATAATCGACCAGTTTCTAGTTCCCCCTTACGACGATGGTGGTTACCGAAACTCCAAGGAAAAGGCCGTTCAGAAGGGATGTAAGGTATGCTACTGCAAGTCTCGACTCAGCCGCGACTTTTATTCCTGTGCGCCTGCATCTGAGCACTGCTACCAGCGGAGACAATTTGCCTTTTTGAGTCCATCTTCGCGTTGGTATATCCCACGGAGAATTAAACTTGTCTCTCGATGCGCTTGTTTTGCGAAGCGATTGTAGCATCCAACAAGTGGAATGGCCTGCGGCTCCCTTGCAATGTGCCGTTTCTTGTGTGTCGGTGTTGCTGTCTGGCTTTCCGATGCGGAGGAATGTGCTTTAAGCACTAGTCGTGTCGTCTCATCAACCGGAATGTGAACACGATAAAGCTGTAAGGGGCAGCCTGCCTCTAATTCCGTGCCAAAGGTGAGCACCAGAAGCAGTAGCCGTAGGTGTGGTACTGTCGCATGTTCGGAGAACTCATCGTCGTTCGTCGGCGATAAGCTCGTGTGCCGACCCAGGGCTGTCATCGAGACTCATCTGAGGTGTACGGAAAACGTAGTGAGGGTACTCGACGCGATGATTGACTCAGATCGGTTCGTTGGTAGCGCTGCGATCACACACCATAGTTTCGGCGCAGTATACCCCACTCCGTATCGAAGTACCGGCCAAACCCTCGAATCTCGCACATACGATTGAAACACTTCTGGCAAAGCTGATTCCTGAACCTCGTCCTGTCACAGCGTCCATCTCTCCTTGGATCCTTTTCCCAGCTTGGGTCCGCCTCACCCTGCTGATTCCGCGGTCCAATCTTCCAGTTGCTGTCGACGGGCCGTCTTAGTCGTGGGTCCTCGAAGACACACGGAAACCCCACTCGATCGCCATCGAATTCCGAAAGCCAATGACAGGCTTGCTCGCGTGCTTTGCGGTAGCATCGTGCACACAGCTGTCCGCGATGCCGAACTGTGCCGCAGAGGCGAGAGTCTTGGGGGTTGAAGTCGTTGCGCCATGCTGAGAAGCGGAATTCTGGGTCTTTGCAGGCGCAGAGATACGTCCAGCCTTTTCTGATGCGTTCCGAGCTGTCGCGCTCAAGCTGGTGCCTGTAGACATCGATGCGGTACCTCAGCAACGGCTTGTCTGGATGTGCTTCGGCCTGCTTGTACAGTGCGTCGAAGCTCATGTTCTTGCACCATGAACATATATCTGTTCCTTGTTCTTGTCCTCCTGGACGTGAGCCACAAGCGGTACCGAATGCACAGTGTGGCTTCGGCGGCGGTGCTAGCATGACAAGCAGGTCGTACAGTGGTACACCTTATCTATTAGCGTGGCCGACAACCTAGCAGAGCGACTTACCAGGTCAGTTCCTGGTATGGCTTCAACTCGTTATTGTGTTGTAGCCTTCCACGTCATCGTCCGACTCCTCACTGCCCTCCTCCGAACCTGCCGACCTTATCACCAGTTTGTCTGCTTCTTCATGGCATAGGCCCGTCGGCGTGAAGAACTGGGCGATTCTGATCTTCCGCAAACGCCTTCTCCAACACCTGGTACACGCAGTACCTTTCTTGCGGACAGAAGGGCAGTCCAGGCGAGTGCCGCGGAGGTTCAGGTCATGTAGTCGCCACCTGCAGTGCTGAAAATCCGGATCCTCAAAGGCGCAGAGATAGCGACCACGAGCTTCGATGTTGCGTTTCAGAATGTGCTTGCGCGCAGTCTCTTCGTTAATGAGTTGCAAGGCAATAGTGTTGGCGTCAGCCCAAACTCGCAGTTGTTGTGGATCGTGTCGTTGAAGACAGTCCGCGCAAACCCGATTTGGGACGTAGATTTTCTTGCCGATGCCGAGACAATGAGATCTAGAGACGCACTCGACAATCGGTGGGGGTTTGAAAGTGGATTCAGAAGCTGAAGCCATAGACTGGTACCGAACGTCTAGTAGTCAGGGCTCCCACGCTCACTGGTTTGCGGTTAGCTCAACGTCCTTGCATGTCGGCTTCTGTGATAGGGCGCACCCGGTATGTGCTCCTATGACGTTGAGATTGACATTCTTGCTGGTCGTTGAACATGATGAAAAGACATCGACTGATTGACGCTTGCAAGCTCTGCGAGTTGCATTGACAGGTAATGGGGACGGTACTGGACGAAAGCGGGCTGTCGCCATCTCCGGTGACATGAGTTGCGACCAATGCAATCGAGTGCATGCTTTACCACACGGACGCTACGGGCTCAGTCATGGAAGCTTTTTGTGGCGTGGAATGTGTCCGATGTGTCGGTTCAACTGTTACTGGGCGGTGTGATGCGCTGATCATACTCGCTAGGCTACCGGCATGGTAACATGCCATGTGCCTGTGCCGATTGGGTACCACTCGTGTCCATCGTGTCAACAGTGGTGTTGCTGCGCTAACATGCAGCTATGATCACTATGAGGTATGAGACCCGACCAGCCGGACAGGCCAAAGCGGAAGCTAAGCCACCGGTTAGCCCGTAGATTTGTGTAGCTGAACCGGATCTTGTCTACCACTCGTCGGGAGACGATGGTAGCTATCTCATTCGTCAGCTGTGTAGAAATCGCAGCAGCGTGGAATAGACGTTACGTGTATTTTGGACCTCGAACGCTTGAAACCTGTCGTGATTCGATGATGCTGTGATAAAGTTTCGCTTCGAGCATTCTAAACATGAGGAGATCATCGTGCACGGCCATGAGGTCCTTGCTAATGACCCCGATGAAGCCCAAGACGCTGACTCGTTCCGGTTCATCCGCCTCTTGATGCAACATGCTTTGCATCGTGTTCGAGACGCAGTCACTTCAACATCTGCTTTAGTCTTTGCAAACACTGTGTAACCGCGTACTTGCATTGGATCGACCCAGAGTAGAACTCTATCGGATATGCAGTTGTGACGCAATCTGGATCGGCAGTTTAGAAAACGACCTGTATCTTCCGCGATCCAGCCTCATCTATGGAGGGTGATATTTGGCCGGTATGAGGTTTTCTGATCCGATACAACGGGTAAATGCGGTGTTTGGATGCCTTGGGCCTGAGGCGTAGGTGTCAGATGACATGTGGTCCTCCTGCTCGTCTGGATTTTGCCAATGCGATGACGAATCTCTCTCAGACTGCACCCATAACCGTAAGTAGCCGTGTGGTGCCCAAAGAACACTAGACGTATAAGGCCTGCCTGCCCTTGCAATGGTAGTATGCGCTGGACATGTGTGCAACACCGAGTTGAGCTTTCATATGCATAGACAGTCGTTCGACATGGCATCGGATTTGACCGCATCGTACGTCGGCGAATGCGCATTACGCGTGCAGTGGTCCCAGATCGAGTCATCTAGTGTTAATCTTTTGAGCGAAAGGGTGATGCACATCGATTCTTACAGCCGAGACAGGCCACATCTGGCGCACAGCCAGCTTCATATGGAGTCAGTGGCTTGGTCACATGTCGTTCGCTCTGGGCGACCCGGGGCACGGGTAGGATATGATAGGGATCGAGACCCTGGCGTGCTCATCCGTTGATTCATTACTGAAGGCCGCGGTGACTTTGATCAATAAACACCACTTTGCACCTCGCCAGAATTTGTCGTTGTGTTACGTGTAGCTGCGCGGTGTGGGAAGCAAGCACGCAACATGCATGCTGCAACCTCCTGCACCCGCTCGACATTCTGTTGTATCAAAGCTTAGTGGCCACGGAGATCGCCGTCCATAGAGCTCTGCTCAAACCGCAATGCTGCCAGATGACTGAAGGGTCGAACGGTCATCGAAGTATAATTATTGTGGATATACTACTCCGGAGATTGGGTCGTGCCGCGAATGATTGTGCCAAAGTCGACGTTCGGCATGATTTCGCGGGTTCCCCATGGTTGGAAGCTATGAAGCGCTGTGCTGTAGCATTGTCGTCACATGTCGGCGAGGCTGGATCGCACGAATACACAGGGTGTACAATCCGTCCATCTGGGATCGTACGGGGCGAGCCCTGTTGTGGAAGCATCAGGCGTCGGCTACGACTCGGCGAGGCTGACCTCTCCAAGGTTGGCATTGACCCGCATCGCCTCAATCGAAGTGTGGCGGCTGGCGGCAGCGCGCGAAAGTAAAATTGGAAGCTTGCTGGGGTAGCTGTCGAAGGGCTGTTCTGTCTTTGTTTGCGCTGAAAAAACGAACATCTGAAACCTCTTCTCACTAGCGTCCTTTAGCCTCGCGATCACCGACGCGTCTACGGTGCACCGACCTCGGGACGCGTGCACATCATTGCACGCGTAGCCAGCTTGCCACACACTCACACTCCAACCGGAATTACACAATTGGCGACGTCACCTTGGCCACCGCAGGACATCATCATTCGTCTCAGCAAGTACGAGGCTGGATCATGTGGTCTAGCTTCCTTTCCCGAGCGCGTCCTACCCCTGAGAGAACAACACCTGCAGTGCAGTGCACGGTCGACACGCCGGAAGATGTAGCTGCATCGGTGGAAGACAGACATGTCGATATGTCGGAGTTGCAGCCGACTATTGTTCTCGACGATAGCGGCGACGCCACCCTATTGGTCGGCACCGATTCAGCTGGCCTTCAGCCGGTCCAGGTCTCTTCGACAGCCAT